AAAAGCCAGTTTTACATTGCACCGGCGAGTCACCAGCTCCTTAGAGTTTGACAAAGAAAAAAGACCTCAACGACATTTTAACCAAAAAAGGCTTCTCAAGGCTTTTACAGTAATTTAGAAAACTACATCAATAGTGACCATACAGTAAAACCAACAAACTTAGAAAATTGGATTGATCATTTTGAGGTATGTTGTTGCCATGGATATAGATTTTGTCTGTTCTTCTAGATTATGCTCAAGAAGTTAGCCGAATTTATGAACTAGACCCAGTTTTCTTGCCTTACGTCCAAACATAATGAATACAGGGAAATAAAGCTTTGTTAGATCACTCAGTCTGGTTGTCAGTCAGTGCTTTATTTTGAAATCACATGTATGATTTGAGACCAAATTGCAAATTGTAAAAGACACGATCAGCGACGGCAACCCAATTCTCCCTCGTTTAATCACTCCTTTACCACTATCGCACAGTTTAATATTCCGTTTGGTTTTACTAACTGAACACCTTGATTAGGCCATCCATTCTATGAGGTTTTATGACAAGTAAACACAGTACGCATCCTCTGATTGGTCAATTCAGGTTCTGAGCGGACGCTCTACCATAGGGCCTGCATTTGATAGGTAACAACTAGTTATGTCATTAAAAGCAATAAAAAACGTTTTCTCCGGGCTCTATAACATGATAAAGTAATTGGGGATGTTGAAAAAAGACGAGGAAAGCTTATAAATCACGAGCCGACCGCGAGTGGTTTTCAAGCTTCTTTATTTAGGTTCTTTATTTATGTTCCTTATTTTGGTTCTTTATTTAGTTTCTCATAGCTTCTTTTAAAAGCTTCTCTATTTATAAGCTTTTTCTTTAAAACCAGCTTATCACATTTGAAAATTGAGATATCTCAGTGCTACATCGTTTATCACTCGGTTTTGGACTTAGAAAACACCTCTCCAAACTAACTTTAAAATCAGGGCTCTGCAGGACAACATCAAGTTCGGCTTAAAAATAACAAACACTATCTCAAAAGTTTTTCCTGAGAAAGAGAGTTATCAAAAAAAAAAACAAAAACAAAAAAACTGGTGTGCTAAACTGATCGGATACATTGGAGTTAAGGCACAATTTCGGCCTCCTCTGCAGCCATGGACAACTCTAAATCACCAAGAGACTCTTCATCTAACCACTGAGAAACTTCCTCATTTGATAAAAATGTTTCCCTTGCATCATAAGCGCAATAATTCTCAGGTAATACCCTACCACACATCTATTTTCAATTCCTTCTTGCTTGTGTTTCATCCTGACAAATCGCATAATTTGGTGAGAGGTCCATTCCAGCCGTTTTATTTAATTTGGTTTTGTTTCTTCCCTCGTCTGATAACTTCCATATTTGGTTTGTGTAATTCCCATTATCCTGACAAGATTGTCACGAATGCTTATTGTGATCCCTAAGGCTTCTTGTATGTGAAACTGCACCCTCGCTATCCCAACTGTGGTGTGGAATCTGAAGCTCACGCATTAATGCATCGTCCAAGTCATTACCGAAGTCACAATCACCAACTTTAGGTTGCGTAACACAACCACTATTGTCAAATTGCATTACATTTTGTTTATTTCTTGGGACACAATCTTCGTCCAAGTTGTTCTCGTTTGTATTAAGCATCTTTTCCATTTCATCATTCCTAGAATCATTTAGCCTCTGCTCGCATTCAGATAACAACTTACAAAGCTCTTGGTCATCAAAATCATTAGTTGAAAACTCGTCAAACTGAAAAATGAAAATAAACGGTTTTGAAAGATTTTTAAATGAATTAACAAAAGAGCTATGGGATTAATCAGCGTAAACTACACTTCATGAATCGTATTCAAATTTTTTACACAGGAGAGTGATTATTCAATTACCTCAGAACTTGACAACGGATTGATTTCCTGTGGTATAGGCTTTTCTGAAAGTAACCACACGATAAATGGTTTGCAAATTGCTTTTTTTGAACATACGACAGTAGGCTATGACTAGTTTATATGATAAAAAGTCTTTTATCCCCTCAATGCTTCCACAAATAACGCAACCGATAAAGCTTTCCCAATGTTTGAGTAATTAATGGATGAATGTGAAATTTAGTTAGGCACTTCTCGTCGTTAGGAATTGACCCCAGACTTTTTCCCGTTTATTTTTAAGGCCGGCACACACGAGGGGACTAGTCTCTGCGACTAGTCTCAGCGACCAGTTTCAAGCGACAAGTCCCTTCGTGTGAACTACACATTTCTGTGGTCGCACGAATTCAAACTGGTTTGAATTCGTGCGACCAGTCGCTGGGACCCGTCGCATGAAACAAATGTTTGTCCCTTCGTGTGAACTGTTTGTGCAACCAGTCCCTGCGACTAAACGGTAAATAAGCCAATCACGGGTCAGTATGATGCGTGACTTCCAGTATATGTAAACATTGCAGTTTCTATGAATTTTCCCTGAATTATAGATTTCTCAACTAAAGAAAAAAAACTATTTATAGTTTTGTAAACATATACAGATGTCTTGTAGCCGTTTGATGGAAATTTTACCCTATTTGACTCTGTCTGTTAAAAATAAAAAAACAAAACAAAAACAAAAACGGAACACGTAAAAGCATGAATAATCCGACTGAATAAGTGTAGTTCATTTGCGTTGATGTTTAATAGTGCTCCAGTGAAAAGTTACCAAATTTTTATTGTTTTCGCGTAACGCCCCAGACTAAGAAACATCTTTTGCCTCTTCATTTTCCTATGTTCTTGTGCAATCGAGTGCCCTCGTGTGAACGCCTTAAGGGACTAGTCCCTGCTACCAGTCCCCTCGTGCAAACCCTTCAAAGACTTGTCGCCGGGACTAGTCGCACGGACTAGTCGCAGGGACTAGTCGCACGGACTAGTTGCACGGACTAGTCGCACGGACTAGTACCCTCGTGTGTGCCGACCTTTAAGGCTCCATCTTTATTTCCATACTTTTGCTAAGTCTAGAAAATTTTTCGCAAAAATCCACATCTTTCTTATAATTTTAAGAGTGAGCGCCTCTTGACTATCTTCGCTATCTTGTTGAAGGATTGTAAAAAGCTAGAATAATGCTGGTAAAAATCTGAATAAATAGATAGATAGATAGATAGATAGATTAGATAAATAGAGATTAAATAGTTAGGTAGATTGAAACTGAAGGTCAGTTCTCCAGTTCCTGGAAAAAGACCCTGTCATAATTTGCATTTCAATGGGAATCTGTGCGAGAACTCTCCCGAATCGTTCTTCCGCATTCTCGATTTTAAGTCTGCTCCCCGACAAATCCTACAAAATGATGTGTTTTCGGCAGCCAGAACATACCAGGGGAACGATAGTCAATCCCTCTACAGTCGGGGTCGTGGCATTTCTGGTAGTAAACACCAAGTCTCAAGTCTGTCACAATCCTAATATAAAGAAAAATTAACTGCGTGTTGGTGTATTTTCCATAATCATTGATTCACCTTTCTTATAATTCATGGACGATATTTTGTTTATTAACCTCATTTTCTTTCAAGGGAGTTTGGATAGAACAACATAAGCACCATGCAGTAGAATCGTCGTGATCCAAACCCGAAGTAAACACATTGAAACCTGAACGAGACTACTTGGAGGCAGCCATTAGAACAGTGGTACAGATTCACATGTGTGAGGAAGTGGAGGGTGACATTTTGTTGTTTCTTACTGGGCAAGAGGTGTGTGTTCAAAGTTCTTGATTCCCCTTTTGAGTTTAGAACGGCATGTTTCATGTAATCCTTTAAACCTTTATATTCAGTGAGTGACCAAGGCAGAATTTTTCCTTACAATGCCAATACAATATCAAGAAGACAAGTGATGAGAATAAAGAAAACATATCAATCAGGGGATTATTAGTTGATCATATGCCAAATTCTCCCAAGTAACATCATGAGAATTGTATGAGAGACAGTAGAGAGAGTTACTAATGAGATCTTGGTAGTGAAAGGATTAACCCCTAAGAGTGATAAGCATCTAAGTTCTCCCAGCAGTGTGACCCCTGAATCAGGCATTAAGGTCATGAGAATAAAGAAAATGATCACCAACTAAGGAAGCTCATGATTGTTAAGAAAAGTTCTCCATGTCAGCACTGTAGGAAATGTCTAGAGAATAAGAATGCTGATGCAAGGATCTAGTGGGTTCAAGTTGCTCAAATTTCTAAACCTAAATTACATTTACTTTCAAAATTCTTTGACAAGAATGACCAAAGAGTTGATTAACATGGGGCCTGAAATTATGGGAAAAAATCCTTCATCAACTTTTGGTGCTTAATCAGTAAAAGTGGTGGAAGTTGAAAACTTTTTAATGCTTGTGAATGTATGAAAGTCATGTATACGAACTGCGGTTAAAGAAATTAGTGTGAGATCAATCTCCACAGAAATGAACACTACTTAAGCAATAGTGAAAATAAGGCTTGAAAAAAAATTTGGGCCTGTACAAAATTCAAAGCCATGACCTCTACAGTACCAGTGCAATGCTCTACCAACTGAGCTAACAAGCCAACTAGGAGCTGGTCATTGTGAAGGTTCATAATAAACCTGTGAAGTGAATTTTTTTCAGGCCTTATTTTCACTACTGCTTAAGTGGTGTTCATTCCTGTGAAGATCAATCTCACACCAAGAAGACTATTAGTTGCCACTAGAAATTTATGTGCCATTTAACCTTAGTTTTAAAGGACCATCCATTCCTGAATGAAATTTTGCAACAAACATGAGCATTGTGTTAATTTTTCACAGTTCGCATATATTTTAAACAAAGTTAAACCAAGTTGAAAGTAGCCTTTCAACATTTCACTGTTTTCTTCCTAGTCAGGAAATTTAAGAAGCATGCAAGAGACTGAAGAAGGAAATTGATAACCTGGGACCTAAAGTAGGCGAGTTCCACTGCATCCCTCTGTATTCAACTCTTCCTCCGCAACAGCAGCAGTGCATCTTTGACGCTCCTCCAGCAAAACGCCCAAATGGTGCCATTGGGCGCAAGTGTGTGGTGTCCACCAACATTGCTGAATCTCTCTTACCATTAATGGTGTGGTGTTTGTTATAGATCCTGGATTTTCCAAGCAGAAGGTCTGTCTTACTTCAGTATTTGATTACTGTCTACTTTTCACAAAGTATTTTACTGTTTGTCTTGTCTCTTAACAAGTATGGGACAAAGAAAAAATTCTGAGTTCCCCTAAGGAATCCAACCCCAGACCATTAGACTCAGTGTGCAGGTTCAATTCCTCGTGAGGTCTCAGAACTTTTCCTCTGTCCTATGTTTGTGACAAGGTAAAAAAATATCAATAGCTTTTTCTTACAAAGCTCAAAAATCTACATCTTTCTAATTCTGCATATATATTTTATTGTTCCTTATCATTGTTCCTTAACAGGTTGACCGAGTGTAAAGTCATTTTGTCTTTGGTTTGTCTATAATAGGTGTACAATCCCCGTATCCGTGTAAAGTCACTGTTAGTTTCTGCTATATCAAAAGCCAGTTCACAGCAGAGAGCTGGCCGTGCTGGTCGTACAG